CGTCCCCAGAAATCTGGTCGTATAATGATTCCAATTCGGGGATTACTCGTAGTTGCGTGTGTGTGTGTGTGTGTGTTTTCCAGATGGGATTGGGACCCGGAGCTCCACCCCCCTCGTCAGTGGTTGCTGCTGGCTGGGCTCTTTAAAAAGCCCAGTTCTGGACCAGTTCACGCGCTGCATGCTCGCTGCATATTCCCATATGTTGCCTTTGGTTTGTACCCTGTGTGATTGGATTTTCAGATGTGATTAGATTTAAATAACTTGTGTTCCTTTTGGAACGTGTAGCAGGAGGAGGGAGAAATTGTTTGTTTGGGTCATTTGACTAATTATTTGTTTCCTCTTTGGTTCACAGGGAGTGGGGAGTAGATTTAGAGCTACCCCGGGGTATACATCACCCGTAGGTTTACTTCTCTGTCTAGAAACACCAGTTTAGACCTGAGCGGACCACCACCTGTAAGTTTGGTTAGGGCGCCTTGATCGTGTGCCAGGTAGAGATTGTGTTTTCAATTGGGGGTTAGTACAGGTTAGGGGTGGGGACCTTTTTGTTTATTTCTTTGTTTTGGTCTGGCCAGCCCTCCCCTTTTCCCAGAAAGTTATTGTTTATGTGTATTTATTTTGTTAGATAAAAGCGTTATACTGTATTTGGTGTTTGTCCTTTTCTCGCACCGCGACTCCATACCCCTTTTGCTCGCAAAACTCAAATTTTGAAGAAAAAATATTTTCATTGCTTGTAAAATTCAATCTAAGGCAATTAATAAACGTGTTATGAACGTTTTTTAATATATAGAATAGCATATTAGTAATTGTAACGTGTAGGTATTTAAACTGATGTATCAGTGAGCTGGTGGTGAAATCATTGGTGGTCTGAGGACTCCTCCTCTGGTGGCTTTGTGTTACAAGTGTTCAGGCACTGAGAGGTTTTTGTTCAGCTGTACTGATGGTTTGTGTTACTGTGGGTTTCTAGCACAGTAATACACAGCCGTGTCTCCAGGCTGCACATTCTGTCCGTTTAGAGTCACTGTTTTACTGGAAGCATCTAAGTCGATACTAAACTTGCTCTTCAGTGAGTCTTTGTAGTATGACGCTCCAGTAGATCTTTGTCCAATCCATTCCAGTCCTTTCCCTGCAGGCTGTCTGATCCATGCTGTGTAGTAGCTGCTCATACTATAAGAAACCTGACAGGTGATGGTCAGACGTTGACCGGGCTGCACAGTCACAGAGGCCGGCTGCGTCAACTGCTCACACTTCACACCTGTGGAGGCAAACATGAAATATTGTATCAATGTAATAACAGTGAGCAGTCAGTGTGCTGTGATGTCCATGTCTCTGCCTCAGTGACACTCACAGTATCCAGCGGCCAGCAGCAGCAGTAGAGCTACAGAGAACATGTTGGTGTGGAGGTTGATCTGATGGGAGCTTCTCCTCTTCTGCTGCGACTGACAGCGTGATATCAAGTCTTTAAAGGAGACTGTGAGGAAGTTTACTTTGCATATAGAAGGAGGCTATAAAAGAGGGATGAAGTGTTCTGTCACAGCAGACCAAAGCCTGGAATAGTGTCACACACACGTGACACGAGAAAGAAGATGTATTTATTATTTTATGCAATAACTTAAAGGGAACTCTCTTATTCCTACAAAAGTAGTCATGCCAAAGTAACAGATCTGTATTTACACTCAACATATTATTAAATATTTGGATAAACAAAATATGAAGTTTCATTGAGACTTTGATTTACTGAGTGTGCTTATGTTTAATTTCAGAATATGCAAAAATAAAGCAAGATTTAGACTTCGTTGATGTGTCAAGTATTTAATATGCTCCTATAGTTTGTGTTATTGTGGGTCTCTTGCACAGTGATGGACAGCAGTGTCTTCAGACTGCACGTTCTGTCCTTTTAGGGTCACTGTTTTTTAACTAAATATACTTGAAGCAGAATTGTTCACTTGTAGAATACCAGAGAGACTCCAGACATCCAGTTGCAAACAGCAGCAGCACCAGAGATACAGACAACATGATTTATGTTGAAACATTAAAATGTGTAGGAAAATTGGTGGCAAAAAAAGACGAGTGTTTACTGAAGGGATTTATGGATGGATGGAATGCTCATTATATGTTCCTGTCCTGTTTTGAATGTAATTTGTAATGTAATGTAATGTAATTAAAATCAATTATTACAACATAGTATTGATAAGAGTAGCTCCACAGTATTACAAACGTAAAAATACTTATCCCAACCAGAGAGCCACTTGGAAACTGATGATCACATCGTTTATAGTTTATGGCATCCGTAATACAGAATTTATTCATGCTTTTACAGTTAAAAAACACTTTATATAACTGTGAGTGATTTGACATCATGAAAATAATACATATTCAGCCATGGCTTTTAAATACAATAAAGGGGATAAATATTAAAGTACTTTTGCAGTTTGTGAGAAAATCCAAATGTCCCCAAGTTGCTGTTTGTTGTGTGTGGATGTTTTTGTTCAGCTGCTCCGCTGTCTTCAGTCACTGTGTGTCGAGCACAGAAGTAAACAGCTGAGTCTTCTGCTGTCAGGCTCGTGACCTCGAGGTACTGAGTGCTCTTGGACTCATCTTCAGTCATGATGAAACGGCTTTGGAAGGAGCTGCTGAAGGTAGCAGAGTTGCTGCCTGCGTTCATCCTCCCAATCCACTCCAGAGCATTTCCTGGCCTCTGTCGTATCCAGCTAATAAAGTGGTCTGTCATTGTATAACCTGACGTGATACACGACATCTTCACTTTCTCTCCAGGTTTCTTCACCTCGGAGGGAGACTGTTCGTGTTTGATTTCACTCCAAACTCCTGTAAGAAAAGATATTGTAATCAGCACACCTCACAGGTGAGATAAGTGAGTGTCTTCACTGTGTTAAAGCAGAAATTGTTCTCACCATTAATAGTAACTATGAAGAACAGACTCCAGGAAATCATATTTTCCATTATGTTACTAACACTTCATCCACTGCTTTCTGCTCTGAATGTTTTCAAGATATATTAGAAGCCCAGTTGCTCCGTCATCAATGACATGAGAGCTGCATACGGCATTATTTTAAGGAAGGAACAATTTGCATGCACCTCCCTCAACAGGTTTCAAAAGACCAAATGGAAAGCAGGTGAACTCAAATAAATACACAACAGCCAAAGCAGAGTGACGTAAAAGATCTAAATTCAAGACAAATATTCATAATGTAAAATATTTGTTCTACAGGAAAAGCAAATACGCATTTTTGTGACAGTATATCGAGCAGATTTTTGAAAGAATATAGTTTGAGTGGACATAATTCTTTGATGTCTTGGATTCTACCTTTGAATCCTTAAAGAAATAGTACGCGGGTAGAAAAGCCCAATTTAGCGGCACAGCTGCAATGATCACAATGCAAGATGGTCTCTTAAATACATTAAATTACCAGACAATGTCTCCTTCAGGGAGTAACTAGTCACACACAGACTGCTTTATAACGTATTTAAATGTGTTTGACAGTGTGTGGGTGAGTCACACGGTTGCTGGTACTTGTGCAGGTCTGTTGGTGGTTTGTATCTCTGAGGGATAACGCACACAGCAACACACAGCTGTGTCCTCACTTTGATCATTCTGTCCTTTTAAAGTCACTGTTGGAGGCAGAAGAGTCTCTGCTGGAGATTAACTTATTCTTCAGAGCATCATTTTGACAAAGGCCACGTTTATATGGCACAGGTCAGACATTTACAAAAAGAAATAGCAAAACAAATAATTGACTGAAATGATTGTATTTTATTTTGTGGGATACATACTAAAGTTCAGGTTATTTATCATCTGGGTGTTTCAGAGATAAATGATAAATGCAATAGTTTCCACTATGACAAGTCGTAGTGAGGATCCTAATAATAAATAATAATAAAACTCAGATCTTAGCGTAGAACTCAAAATCTGAAGAAAAAAATATTTTCCTTGCTTGTAAAATTCAATGTAGGGCATTTAATAAACGTGTTATGAATTTTCTTAAATATATAGAATAGCATATTAGTGATTGTAAGGTGTAGATATTTAAACTGAGGTCACAGTGAGCTGGTGGTGAAATCATTGGTGGTCTGAGGACTCCTCCTCTGGTGGCTTTGTGTTACAAGTGTTCAGGCACTGAGAGGTTTTTGTTCAGCTGTACTGATGGTTTGTGTTACTGTGGGTCTCTTGCACAGTAATACACTGCGCTGTCCTCAGTCTTCAGACTGTTCATCTGTAGATACAGTTTACTGCTGGAGTCATCTCTGGAGATGGTGAATCTACCCTTGACTGATGGGGAGTAATTGATGGGAGAACTAGATGTGCCGATAACAGCGATCCACTCCAGTCCTTTTCCAGGAGCCTGTCTGATCCAGTACATGTAGTAGCTGCTGAATGTGAATCCAGATGTTGTACAAGTCAACCTGTGTGATTCTTCAGGCCTTTTAATCACTGCTTCAGATTGTGTCAGAGTCTGACCATCAACACCTGTCAAGAGAAGAAGATATGCATGTCATGTGTTACGTTAACAGCAAGTGGAAACGTCTGAAATCAAGATGAGAGAAATTCTTCACCTGCGCAGAAGACAGTTAAAAGCAGCAGTCCTGTCCTAAAGTCCCTCATGGTTAACTGTGTGTCCACTGTCCTCTGTCCTCCTCTCTGCAGCCACATAAGTAGAGGAGAAAGACATCTGAGTTTTGCATTGACTCCTCCTCTCTGATTGAACAGTGTCCTCTGTCCTTGTTTTACTGTTAGTCACTTTATAACATTTGAATATGTTTCACACTCAGAGGATTCTGTCTAATGTAACACAAGATCACTTTAATTGGAGAATCAAATCTCTATAGTGAAGTCCTCTCACTGAGGTGGTTTACAATTAACAGTAAAAATGTAATAATGAAGATATTATCAGGATCGTCAGGATCCGAACCTGTGTCTCCGTGTAGCAGGCGGGTTGCCTACCACTGCACTACGAGTGATGATGACTCAGATGCAGAGACAGAGAGACGAGTTGTTGGTAGGGAATAAAAAAAGGTTTCTTTACTTGAATAAAGCAGAGGATTGCAGAAGGTTTGACAGCAACTCAAAAATACTTCCAGACAACTAAAAAAAAAGTCTGGGAAATTAACAATGTAACTAAGGGTGTCCAAAAAAGAGGCAACAAAAAGATCTCAAGAACCAAAAAAGGATTAACAGAGGTAAATAATCTAGGCAGCGGTTCTCTTAGCGACTCACGTGACTAAGCTCAAGGTGTCAACTTCCAAGACTCAGCAAACAAAAGGACACTCAGGTGGCTTTAAAGGCTAGCAAATAATGCACAGGTGAACACCATGAAAAAAAAAGACCTGTAATGAAAACAATCAAGACAGGACACATGTGACAGCAATAACTGGAACACTGAGGACCCCTCATGGTCCTTCAGGGTACTGCAGTCCAAAGACCCTGACAGATATTGTTTCTCTCTCAGAGCCCAGGGAGTATATGTTTGTCTTATTGCATCATCATGTATTCAATCATCTTTCATCACAATGTCTCATAAGAAAAAGACTAAACAGCAGCTCCCTCAGTCTTCCAGCTGTTTATATTTACATCTGTAGTGATCTGAAATTTTTTAACCAATAAAGCTGCCATCACTTATTATCCAGCAATAAAAATGTTCTCATTTTTTGTTATAAGGTGACCTAATGTAGATGTCAAATATGAGTTATACTAAAGTGGCTGAGATGTGTTCATATAATGTTCCTTTTTTCCAGACATATCATTTAAACACAGTGACAAACTTTTCAAAGTTGGGATTTTGTTATGATAGGAACAGAATTGTATGCATTAGTTTCAAAAATATGCTAAGTTTTGGTTCTTAGCGTCTAACTCAACAAGAAAACTCTAAGAAATCATTTTTATTGCATGTAAAATTCAATGTATGCCAATTAATAAACGTTTTATCAACTTTTCATTAGGAAATATATAGATTTGCATATTAGTAATTGTAACGTGTAGGTATTTAAACTGATGTCACAGTGAGCTGGTGGTGAAATCATTGGTGGTCTGAGGACTCCTCCTCTGGTGGCTTTGTGTTACAAGTGTTCAGGCACTGAGAGTTTTTTGTTCAGCTGTACTGATGGTTTGTGTGACTGTGGGTCTCTTGCACAGTAATACACAGCCGTGTCTCCAGGCTGCACATTCTGTCCGTTTAGAGTCACTGTTTTACTGGAAGCATCTAAGTCGATACTAAACTTGCTCTTCAGTGAATCTTTGTAGTGTGATGTGCATCCATCACAGCCACTTCCAATCCATTCCAGTCCTTTCCCTGCAGGCTGTCTGATCCATGCTGTCCAGTAGCTGCTAAGAGCATAAGAAACCTGACAGGTGATGGTCAGACGTTGCCCGGGCTGCACAGTCACAGAGGCCGGCTGCGTCAACTGCTCACATTTAAAGCCTGTTAAAAAAAGATTTTTCTTTATTATCAAGTTATACAAGAAGAACGAATGACTTTGATGAATCAAGAGGAACTTACATCCAGCTGCCA